ATTCAATATTCCCTAACATATGCCGACGTTCATGTGACACGCGTCACAGCGCCAGATGTTTGCAGTTCGTCTGTGCGATTATGGAGCCTATAATGGCGGGTCAAAGGGTCATGCGCATGTCAAAGTAGCTGCAGAATGAACTGCCACTAGTCTTCTTTACAAGTTAAACAGTCCGCTTTCTTTTCAGACTTTTACAAGCTCACGGAGGAGAAGCTGGGTGCGGGTGCGTATGCGAGTGTGCAAACTTGTGTGTCAATCGCATCTGGGAAGGAGTACGCTGTGAAGGTGAGAAATGATGATAATACAATCGTACTTCATTTTTTGCGAAGGTGTTTTAGGTTGTTGACAAGAACGAAGAGTCGCATACCAGATCGCGAATTTTAAGAGAGGTGAATACGTTCAAGATGTGCAAAAACCAACCGAATATTGTCCAGCTGATTGAAGTGCGTTGAGTTTTAATTAAAACAAGTGCCAACCGGAGTCGGTCTAACTTGAAGTGTTTGTCATGGATGAAATGTTTTAGTGGTTCGAAGACGATGCAAACTTTTACATGGTTTTCGAAAAAATGAGAGGGGGACCTTTACTTGAACATATCATCCGAAAGGGTTATTTTACCGAAGAAGAGGCCCGCCGTGTTACCGTGGACATTGCTACCGCCCTCAAGTTCCTCCACGACCGAGGTAAAAAGAGCAATAAACAGCTGGTTACTGCTTGATTTAGTAAAGCTGTCTTGAAGTGTATTAGCATTCCTTTTTTAGGAATAGCACATCGCGACGTGAAGCCGGAGAACATCCTGTGCACAGAGCCTGACCGTGTGAGTCCCGTGAAGTTGTGTGATCTGGACTTGGCCAGTCGTCCTGTGAAAGGCCACTCCCCACCCAGAATGCCACAAATTAATTCCGAACCGGATTTGGCGTCTCCAGTTGGAAGCGCCGAGTTTATGGCTCCGGAAGTAGTTGATGCATTTGTAAACGATGCTCTACGGTACGACAAGCGGTGTGATATGTGGTCACTGGGAGTAATCCTGTACATCATGCTTTGCGGTTATGCTCCATTCCAGGGAGAATGCGATGATGAGGACTGCGGGTGAGAATTTCAAAATTTCCAAGTTAGCGCTGCTCTGTTTTGATATTTTTTTGTAATTCAAACATCAGTCATTAGTAATCAATGTTCAAGGCAGTAACTTAGCATATCCTATTTCAGTTGGTCTGAAGGTCAGCCATGCGATGATTGCCAGCAGGAGCTGTTTCGTCGCATTCAGTGTGGTGAATACGACTTTCCAGCAGAAGAATGGAGCATGATCAGTGCCGAAGCTAAGCACCTTGTTAGCAGTCTATTAGTGAGTCTATTTTGAAGACGATCGCTTAGTAAATCAGACTTTCATTTGATTAGGTAAAAAATGTGAGTGAGAGGCTCACTGCCAATGAAGTGCTCGATCACCCTTGGGTCAAGCAGAGTGCGCCAAGCACCATCCTTCAAACTCCGAGCAACCTGTTTAGGTAAGTTTGTTTCAGATAGATTTTGAAAAATTTTCTACAGTTTTTACTGAACAGTACATCTCAGAATTGATTCTGCTCGGGATGTCCAACAGATGAGTGAGCATTTTAATGTGATGAACCGTTTTGTCGCAGCTCGTCTAAGTTCTCGTCTCGAAAAGATCGCAATCAATGAGGATGATAAGGAAAGCACAACTGATTCGATCAGTAGTGCAAGTCCCACAGAGGCACCGCCTAACCAGTTTGGCACTAGCGACCACAAGGTATATTTTTGTGCTTCGATGTTGACGTCTCTTAATCAACGTTGGTTCTGCTTTTAGGCACTTCCACTGTTTATGGTGCCTCCAGAGGCATTCGTAGATGCGTTTAGTGGTATGATCATGTACCCTCCTGGTAGCGAGCCACCTTCTCC